TTTTGAATGGGGGGATACCCCCTGACACCCGACCCCCCCCCAGCCCATCCACCCCCTCAACACCCCCCCGGAAGGCCACGTACGGAGGGCCCAAAGTTCATACGTATGGGCCGTACGGGTGTCGGGGGGGCTGTACGTACGGACGTCCGGACGTACGAACGGGCCGTATTCGTATGGCCGTATACACAGATGGGTTCGATGTCCTATGGGAATTTGCAATGCTCCAGCTACGTTCCAGAGAGCAATGAACGTGACTTTTCATAACTTCGTTAACAAGACTCGGTTGACACAAGGAATGGTGAACTTCTGCGTCATCGTGTACATGGACGATATCGTGGTATATTCGGACTCTTTTCACGGGCATGCGCAGCATATCGAGTGGACACTTGGAGCACAGTGTGACGCGGGCTTTAAAATCGCCCTGGAGAATAGCGAGTTTTTCCTTTCGAAAATCTCGATCCTCGGGTACGTGGGGACTCGGGGAGGCTTACGACCGGGCTCGCGGAAGGTGGACGCAATTCGAGACACGCCCACGCCCATGTCGCTGACACAGGTCCGAGCCTTCCTGGGGCTGGCGTCCTATTACCGCCGATTTATCAAAGGCTTTGCGGCAATCGCACGACCCTTAACGAATCTTTTGCGTAAGGATCAACTGCTAACCTGGGACGGGGAATGTGAACGGGCCTTCTCCACTTTGAAGGAGGCCCTGGCCTCCGCGTCCATTTTAGTTCGCCCGGACCCTGGGAAGCCGTTCACCCTCATCACAGACTGGCAGCCTGAAGCAATCTCCGCTATTTTGGCACAGAAGAGGAAATACGGCCGCGAACACGTCGTTGAGTACGCATCCCGGACAGTGTCAGACGAGCGGAAGAGCGATTCGGCACCCCAAGGAGAATGCTACGCGGTGGTGTGGGGCATCCAACATTTTCACCCGTACCTATACGGCCAGAAGTTTCTTCTCGTCACCGATCACGAACCGTTGCTGGCGCTCAAGAAGCTGACTAACTATACGGGGATGATCGGGCAATAGGCGGTACGATTGCAGGAGTATGACTTTGACATCGTCCATCGTAAGACAGAGAAGCACGGGAATGCCGACGGACTAACGCGTCTGCACAGGCCAAGCAAGGTGCCAAAGGGGGAAGAGATCACACCGTGGAAGGAGTTGAAGAGGAGTGAAGGGCCTGAATATGGACAAGTGGCAGTATTCCCCCGACCAATCGCGAAGTGACACGTCACAACATGGCAGCCCATGACGAGGATCACGGTGATGCTCCTCCCTCCCCCACTTCTATATTCTCCTCTCTGCATGACCAATTTTGTTGTTTTTGCGAATCAATCTCGAGAGTCTATTCAGTGTCGATGCAACCACACGGGGAGGGATGTGTAGAATGGATAGGTTGTTCCAGGTGTGTTTCACAAGCCCACGGGTCATGCATTCAGTACCGGAATTCCCAGAAACCATGGCTCTGCCCGGTGTGTCGGACCGATAAGATACCAACCGAGGCCTGTTTTCTGGAGGCCACCTCTGAGGGCCTCAAAAAGACTCGACGGCTTAGGAGGGCCGAGGTATGGACAAATGTCGCCCTGAAAGCTATAGTGGCAGGGAACTCGCTCCTGGATGTCAGTTCTGCACCCGTTCATGCGATACGACTGGGTTCGGGCGGCCCACAAGGAAACAACTGCTCATTTTGCCGTAAGGATTACAGAGGCGGCGATTGACAAGAATGAATGGTATTGGTCCAATATTTGTGATGATGTTAAGTTCATCGTCCAAAACTGTCAGGTCTGCGGCGCCGCTGACAAAGGGTCGATTCAGCCGTTTGGGTCAATAGTGCCCATCATAGTTGAACGGCCATTTCAAAGGGTTAGCATGGACACCACCGATATTGTCATACCCCCTGGACTGAATAACCGCGACTATTCAATTATTTTGGTATTCGTAGGCCATTTCTCAAAATGGATCGAAGCGTATCCGTGCAAGACGCGACAGGCGCTGGAGATCGCGCGGTATGTCAACCGTTTTCTCGGAATGCACCAAGACACGGAAGAGATCCTAACGGACAATGGAGCAGAATTCCGAGGAGAAGTCATGAGGAACCTGGTCCTTCATGGCGTCTCCATCCGTCATACCGCCCCGCATATGTCTCAATCGAATGGCCTCGTGGAAAATGCGAACCAAGTAATCAAAATGGCGCTCCGACGAAACATCGCGGCTAGAGATACACGGCCTTGGCCTGATATTGTAGATCACATCTTGGCCATCCATCGAGGTACCCCACACGAGTCTACTGGACTGTCCCCATTCCAGCTACGAACCAACAACTTAGCACGTGTCTCGATACCGAATTTAAAGGACGAATCGACCCTGGGACAACGGCCTACGAGGGCCACGGTCGGAGAAAAAGCCAAACGACACTTGGAACTGATGGAGCGGTCCCTCCCCCGGCTGGCATGGAAGCGCCAACGAATGACCGAACTGGCCCATGGACGGCAGGTCCGTAGCTACGAGGCCCGAAATGGGAATGCAGGCCCACGGCCCCAGTATAAATTAGGGGACCTAGTGCAGGTAAGGAAATGTGCTCGCCAGGGAAAGCTAGCGCCATGATTCTTCGGGCGTTTTCGTGTGATCGAGCTTCGACCCAATGGTGTGAACACGGTGCGCCTGGCTCCGGAAGTATCGGGCAGCCGGTCTGCTCGCCCTATCGTCCGCCACGTGTCCTATCTTCGTCATCTGTCAGCTTCCTCTCCCCCATCTCCTTCTGAGTCTCCTGCGTCTTCCGACTGGGAAGACAGCGAGTCTGATCCTCTCTCTTCTTCATCTTTACATCCCTCATCCCCCTTCCCGCCTCCATTGCCATGAGATTTTTGACGGAGCAGGTGATCAGCGAGCGACTGATGACCCCGAGGGGGCATGTGGCGACTATCCGACAGGTGCAGCGACCTCGGTCAAGTCTCGATGTTCTTCAATTCGCAGCCTTTTTCAGCACAACGACCATCCACGCAGCAGCAGAGTTCCGCTTTGTACACGCAGGGGAGACACGTATACTGGCCGAGGTTTCGGCTTTCCAACGTCTGTCCTCGCCCGACATCAGCCACATATCCATCATCGTCACCTTCACAAGTGATATCACGGCGGTGCACCCGGCGATTCATACGGACATCTACCGGTAGTTGCGGAGTTGGGCTGAGGAGATCACGGCCACGTGGATCGAGTTGTTGGCACGGCCTGGCGACAGGGTCGTAACCTCGAACGACGTGGACCTCCAGCTTCGAGTCTCTAGCAGCGCGCCAGAGGTCCTTCTCCAGGAACTCCTTCCCTTTGCGCCGCCCCAATGAACCGTCGTCGTCTCTCTCTCTCTTCATCCTTCCGTCTGATCTCCCCCCTTTCTGGCAATCTGCAACCGATCCTGCCCTCTCTTTCCGGATCCGGGAACTCAGCGTGCCGATCATGGACGACGACAAGTGGGACGAGCGGCGGGACACTTATGTGGAACTCGGCTTCTGCTTCATGGAGGTGGTGTTTCACTGAGTGGAGCCGGCCTCCGAGGCTGAAGGGGGTGAGATCCAGGACGATGAGGTAGAGTTGTTGATTGCGCAGGCTTGGCGGACGAGCACGGAGGGGGAATTGTTGGGGATATTATTCAGCAAGGTGGAGGAAGGCCACCTCAACGCAATCACGGACAAATTGCTGGTGTTCTTGGCGCAGTTGGTGGACGATTTGCCCCTCGTCATCCTGTCGTGGTGTGACGGAAAGTCGGGGACGGACGTGCTTACTCGCACGCTTGCGCCGCATCTGTTGTGGTCCACATGCACGGAGTTGGACGAAGATAACTGCATTTACCCGTCCCAGAGCCTCTATCTTGAGATCGACGTCATCAATCTCACACTGTGAAACCCTTTTGTCCGGCGAGGAAACGGGCAAGGAGTCGCGCAAGAAGAAGAAGAAGAAGAAGAGGAGGAAGAAGAAGAATCGGACGCCGAGTCGGACGATCCCGATTACCTCGACACGGAAGACGCTGAGTCAGAGGAAGAAGAGGACGAATCGGGTGAGTCGGGTGGTTCTGCGCGAAGCAGAGAAAGGGACGGGGTCGCGGCGCAAAGAAGGCGAGAAAAGGCAGAGGGTAAGTGGCCGGTCGAGGAATCGGAAGGGCCGCCACCACGGCTACTGCACGGCGATTCGGCGCGGAATCCAGAGCTGCCGGAGGAGGAGAACGAGGGAGATGGAGTCGCCGCCGCAGATGGATCGGGAAGCCGACACGGTCGAAGAAGTGAATCGCCGGCTCAATCCTCTTCACCATCGCGGACCGCCCTTCGCTGTCGTCGAGATGCGGGCCTTCGGGCTTCGTCCCCGGTCGTTATCCCGTCGTCCCCATGACTTCCTCACCCTTCACCAGCTCTTGGGCCGACCCCCGTTCCCTGATAGATGGCATCCCTTCCTGCCTTCCCTTTTCCATCAACTATATTCTACCCGCCTCCTAACCACCGTCATTCTGCACGCCACCACTCGCTCCCTTGCCACCTCTTTCCCTCTTCACGTCCTTCTTTTCAGCGCGGCCTGGCGGGAATATAATAATATAGAGGTTTATTGTATCATCTCGGGCACTATCCCCGCCTGCGAGGATTACGAAAATTTCCGCGCCGCCATCCCCCGCACTCTCTGCACTTTCTACCCCGATTACCTCGCGTCCCTCCCTCATCAGCGTTAACACCCGCGCTTCCCTCGCATCCATCGCACCGTCCATTACACCCGGATCCCCACCAACGATAGGGAGGTCCGCCGCTTCATGCCTCCCCTCCCCGAAGCTCATCCACCACCTCCTCCGCCTGTGATTAGATTGCCCTTCCCCAGTGACGTTTAAATTGAAGCCCACGACTGCCACATAGGATGACTTCCACACTCATTTCTTACGGTAAGTGGCACGTGTTGGCTTCGCATCGCTTCATAGCACGGGCGATGGACCTTGGAAGGAGCAAGCAGGAGCTTGCTCAGGAGTGGAACCCCCTGGGCGTCACATATGTGACGAGCTATTTTCTGTACCGCTTGACTTTCCGGGCGAGGTTGATGAAGGGTCTCGGGAAGGGGTGCTCGGGCGAAGTGTGGGAGACGGGGTCGACGGGGCAAATTGCATGGGTATCCTCACTTTTTCTTTTTCTCTCTTCGGTGATGTCGAGGACGGTTGAGGGGGTGCGCCACAACAGGCGCAATCAATAACGGTTGCCATAGGTTCTTTCTTGTTCTGCCGGGGCGAAGGGGAACGGGAATTTTGGCGCGATGACCGCACGAGAACATCGTTTTTCTTTTTCAAAATTTTATTTCAACTAATGTCGAGCCCCCATGGGCTCCTCGGAATTATTTTTCGAATTTTCGTTTTGCGGAATTTTCTTTTTCTTCAATTCGGATTTAGATAGGAATTTAGGAACTTTGAAATTTTTGTTGCGCTGCGCTTCTTGCTTGCGCGCGCCTTCCTACGGCGGAGCCGAGTTCTGACTGAGCGGCGCCCTTAATCTTGCGTGTAATTATAACTTCTGGCGAGCGCAATTGTAACTGCATCTCTCTTCTTTATTCTCTCGTCTTCTTCCCGCCTCCTTTCCTCCTGTTATGCATGCGCCTTCCTATGATATGATTGGCCAAGACGTTGCATGCTCAGATCAATGAGTGGAGAGTGGCTACGTCCCCCACGCCGGGGCCTGGCCATGCAGAACGTAGGCACTTCCTTTCTCCTCCCCTCCTTCTCAAAAGTGCAATCCCGTATCTGTCGCGCATGCATGCACGCTATAAATTTGGCGAGCACGATTTAAGCTCTCTCTCTAAAACTTCGGGAAGCTCCAAGGGTTAGCGCGATCAGCGAGGGTCGGCTAACGTGTAAGTAAAAAGGTGAGTTGATGCGGGAGTTGGGCGACGCGACGAGCTGGTGCTGAGTATGCGGGGTTGACGTGCTGGCCACGACGGACTGTGGCGCACAAGCGAACCTGGCCTGCGTATGTGGACTAAGTGGGGTGACAACTCCGTGAGGGATATGAGACGACGGACTGTTCGCATCGGGGGGGGGGAGAGAGAGAGAGAGAGAGAGAGAGAGAGAGAGAGAGAGAGAGAGAGAGAGAGAGAGAGAGAG